CTGTCTCCTCAGAGTACTGGTTTGATAAAGATGGGCAACTTAGAAATTAGATGTATAAAATGGAGGGAGATAAAGGTATGAAGTGGCTGGTTTACATGCTTTCATAGGTGTGCTTATACTAAATAATAGGATGTAAACCAGGTTAACGTGTTTTCAGTTGTAAGCATGTTAGTTGTATTGTGTTAGGTCCAAGTATGACTTCATCATTGCCTTCATTTAGAGAATATATATGGTTTAAGATGTGTACGGGTGTCAAGTTGACAAAGGGTCAATTGTGATGGTTAAGGTTGTGTGTCAACCTGGCTTGGCCATGATTTTGAGTGGCGTGGCAGTAGGATATTGTTATTCCCAGTGATGAGACTGGATTGGTGTAATCACCTCCATGGTGGAATCTGCTGTGAACAGCTAATTAGTTGAAATGGAGTTGCCTTCGGGGTATGGCCTGCTTCCACTATATATGGAGAAGCTTTGGGAAAGGTCTCTAGCTTTTTGCTCATTTGGGGATCCTGCATTTGGTTTTCATTTCCAGTTCCTAGAATGGAACTAGTGGTCTCCTGTGTTGCCTGCCTATCTTGGGATTGTTGCCTTCATAGCCTTTGAGCCAATAATCAACCGTTTTACCCACCAATATTGATTCAGCAGCTGCGAAAGTCAGGAGAGGCCTCGAGCTAACTTCAGTGGGCCTAGAAGGCAAGCTGAAGCCCACGGTCCAGGGGCCTCCACCCAGCTCCTAGAGCCAGCACTCTGAACTCGGGACTTCTAGCTTAATCTTCGCCTAGAGCCACCACTCTCGATTCAGTCTTCTAGACTCCTAAAGTATAAGAGAATAAACTTCTGTTTGCTGAAGGCATCCACTTGTGGTATTTCTATTATAGCAGCACTAGAGTACTAAGACACCCCGTTTACCTGAAGCCCAAGCTTAAGGAGTATATCCAGGTAAGCAATCGCAAGACTTTATTAAAATGCTGTGTGCAGCTGGAAGTTTTAAATATTTGCTGAGTGGTTACAGACAACCTTCACTGGATGGGTGGAGGCATTTCCTTGCAGGATCAGCAAAGCTAAGAGAAGTTATAAAGGCATGCACTGATTCAAGAAATCACATCATGTTTTGACCTGCCTGCCAACACTGAGAATGGTAATGTGCCACATTTCATAGCACAGGTGATGCAGGAAGTTGCTCAAGCACTGGACATCACCTGGAAAATGAGGACTCTAATCAAGTGGGAAGTTTGAACAAATGAACCAAACTTTCAGGAAACAGCAAAATTTTGCCAAAAAGCAAAGTTAATACAGAGAGAAGCGTTGCTTATCACATTGCACCTAGAGATAAATTAAAGCTGAGTCCATTTAAGCTCCCGTTTGGCCAGCCCTTTTCCAGGAATCTTGAGCTGTCAAATGAAAATCAATGACATATATGTATATATTAGAAAATAGGAGGGTTTGTTCTTACGGAATAGAAAGGTTTGTGTGCTGTGCTTTCTTCTATTCAGATACTCCCAGTTATGGCAGAAATACCCCCTTAATGTTCCTGCTCATCATTTCCTTCTGGGAGAGCAAGTCTTAGGGACTTGGAAAGACAAACCCCTTCAATGGAAGTAGAAAGGGCCTTACACCATTCTTCTAACCAAGGAAACCACAGTGAAGTTAAAAGGAGTGAACCTTGGATTCATCACATCAGGCTGAAACAATGTACACAAGCCTTTCATTAAAGGAATACAGAGTGTTCTTTGGAGTTTCTCAAGGTTCTGCCCAATGAGATAGGGCAAGTAGAAATGTAACTTTTAAGAAAAGTCAGATAGCAAAGGGAGCTGTAGAAGCCAGAGGAAGGTCACCCACCACTGATTACCAGTTGCTACCCCAACAATAGCCTAAATCTAGGCCAGAAGTACTGTTCCACGCCGATCAGACTGGTGATTAGGTTCTCCTGAAAATCTGTAAAGCTGAGCCCCTTTGGGAAAAGTGGACCAGACCATTCAAGGTGCTGCTCAGCATTTCCACTGCAGTGAAGGTCAATGGTCTTAAAGCATGGATTCACCACACCAGAGTGAAGAAAGGCATCCTGCTGGACACCGAGGAACAAACTCTCCACAATTGTGAGAACTGGACCTGTGAAATAATTGTTTTCTAGGTATCCTCCTGCATGGACCAAATCCCACAAGGATTCTTAAGTCTATTAATTACTTTAACTTTACTGTTTTGTTTCTTATTTTTATACATTGTACTTAAGCAGGTTAGGTTGGTGTGGAAATGAGGTTTGTTTTAGTTTACGTGCCATTTTGATTTCTTTTTATCAAGGACACTGTTGGGATCAGAATGTTTTTCTTAAGTTGCCCAAGCTGTAGCTAATGCCACCAGTTTAACTATTATATTGATTTGATTTTCCCTTTTTGTATTATAGGATTAATGTCATGTTGCTGTCTACAATGCATGCCTTTTATTTCCTCCATAATACCAAAGCCAATCATCAAGACTTCAGTACAAGCTGCCATAATAAGGACCACCCATCCAGAGCCCCTAGAGCCTCAGGTACCATCGTTTCCAATTCCCCAACTCTTGGGAGTATCTACAATAAGATGGCCATCAGTTCCACCAACCTTGCCCCTAAACAGCAGGAAGAAGAGCAGTTGATGCCCATTATGTCCCCAGATTGAGGTATTTACAATTCAAGTCGGGGGACTGAAGCAGGGGATAACTGAAGCAGGCTTCCAGGCTTCTGTTGTTTTTTTTAAATCTAGTCAAGCCGAGCCGGTTTCGATTTAGCCTCCCCCATGCCCCTTGCTGAAGACTGGCGGTTCAAACCCACCAGCCACTCCTCGGAAGGAAGGTTGGGCAATCCTACTTCCGTCGTGATACTGCCTCGGAAACCCAAGGAGGGGTCGCTATGAGTTGGGGCCGACTCGACGGCACGTAACAACAACAACAACAACAACATGCCCCTTGCTTAGCCACTTTGTTAGTTTATCTTACAAGGAGATAGCAGACATTCCTGTAGACCAAGGATGAGGTGGTAACCAGCTCAGATCAGTTTTGACATGCACACCGGGAGAAACGGAGAAACAGAACAGTGTTGCTCCAAACCAACATTTTGCCCTCTCTGCCCCAATCAGCTAATGACAGGAAGTCACTCTAACTCACCCAGCATGCAAGCGCACTGTATTAAAAATTGATTGTCCCTTTAAACCAAGGTGAATGAAATTTCACCCATTCCCTAGCCAGTTTATGACCAAATTCCTGGAATGTATATGAATATGTATAACTTCCCCTTCCTGGAGCCCCATAAAAGCTGAAACCTAAGCCCCTACTCAGGGAGTCAAATTTGGGTACATTTTCCCTGGCTCCTACTAAGTGCTTAGCAATAAAGCAACTTTCTTTTTTCTTAAAACCTGATGTGTGCTGTTTCCTGGCCTTGCACTGTACCAGGCAGAGACCCACTTCAGGCCAGCTTCAACTTTATAGAAACCCCTGCAAGAGGTGTAGCCTAGTTCTTCACCTGGAACTTGTTTTGTCCAACAGAATACCATGGACGTAACAATGTATCACTTGCAAGCTGAGGCTTTTACTCACTCTCTGGGAACCCTATAATGTGAATAAAAGCCTAGACTTGCTGGGAGCTCTGGTGGTATAGTGCCTAAGGCATCTGAGGGCTAACCAGAAGGCTGGTGGTTCAAACCCACCAGCCACTCCTCGGAAGGAAGGCTGGGCAGTCCACTTCTCTAGTGATACCACCTCAGAAAACCAAGGAGGTATTGTTATGAGTCAGATCCAACTCCAGGGCAGTGAGTTCGGTTTTTCTGGTTAGTGTGATAAACATGAAGCAGAGAAGCCATCCTAGGTGAGACCATCTTGGGCCAGTTAGCTCTCTGGCAACCTAGTTACTAACTGCAGACGTATGAGTGAGCCCAGCAGCGCCTAGAAGAACCACCTAGCTGCACTCAGCCCAAACTGCCAACCTGCAGAATTGTCAACTAATATATAATTATTGTTTTAAGCTTCTAAAAGTTATACAGCAAAAGCTAACTAATATACAAGTCTTCTCTTTTGTGTGTATTTGCATAACCTTGTAAGATAACCTAAGGTATCTTCTTTTAAGGTCTGGGATGACAGCTAAATAGTCATGACAGAAATACTGGGACTCACCTCCTAAGATTTTTAGAGGAGACATTCTCCTTTCTTATGTTTGGCTGACTTTGCAGATTAACTATTGTTAACTAATTTATTAACTGGCTAAAAGTTTAAGTTATTAAGTATCTCCATTGAAAAACTAGGTCATGACTTTCAAATGTGAGAGTGAAATAAAATAGGTCATTTGTTGGTTATACTGACAACGAGTACAAAAATGTTGATGAGACTCACTTGTTCCAGCTCGAGGGGAATGAGAAGCATCTGGAACTGGAGAATGTAGTGATGGGTTAGCTGGCGACATTCCAGGCATGCGTGTTGCTGGTGAGGGGCCAGACACTTGAGGAGATCCTGGCCAGTTCCCTGCTCGTCCACTTGGTGACACCATTGTGTATGGAGAACTAGGGTCAAGCGTTCCTGTAAAAATGTAAACCAGCGTTTTTCAAAACCTGTCATTTAAGCAATGGAAAAATTTAAATCCTTATATGGTGATAATTTTATTTTTTCTTTCAGTAAGCTGGTATTTCACTAAAGCATGGTGCTTCTTAATATTCCCCAACTGAATCTCTATTTCGTGCAGTCTATATTCTTTTTAATGATAGAAGAATTGGAAAAATGGACTCAAGAAGGATAACATTTCGCTACATACAAGTTTCAACATGAGTAATAGGTAACAACCTATTTTATGCTGTGCAACAACCTACTACTATATGATGGAAAATAATAAGCAGAAAATTTCAACACTCCCTTGAAGGCAGAAATCTTACACATTTCCACCAACCCTCACAATTGTTATTTTCATTCTACTCAGAGAAGGCTGAGAAAAAGGAAAATTTTCATTTTTCTTTATTTAGTAAAGGCTACACTGACTATGAACCAAGGATCAAATTTTGAAAGCAGCAATTCCCCAAACAATTTGATACTTAAATTTCATCCTGCAGAGACCCTCAACGTATTACTTACATCCTTTATAGCCAAATGACAAACTGAGAAGATAATTCTACCAATTATCAGAGTAAACAGTCCTTATAAAAAGAACTCTAACAAAACCAGTAAGAAAAGGAAGAACATCACAACAAAAACAGAGGCAAAGGATATAAACTGGCAGGCACAAAATAAGAAACACCAAAGATCAAGGAACAACAAAAAAGGCTCAGCTTCATTATTAATCAAATAAATACACAAAAAACAAGATACTATTTTTCACCTATCAAAATGGCTGAGACTTTTAAAAATAATACCCAGTGTTGGCAAGGATGCAGGAAAACAGACACTCCTGTATGATGCTAGAGGAAACTAGTACACAGTCTTTCAGGTGAGCAATTTGCAATATGCTTTGAAAGCTTTAGAATTTCTCAAACCCTTTGAAACTCAGCAATTCCACGTCTAGGAACTTACCTAAGGAAATAATCATGGATGTGAGCAGAGATGGCACCATTTTTAATTGTGAAAAAAATGGTAACATTCTAAACGTATAATGGGAGAAAAGTTAAATTATGGTATACCCAGAAAAAGGAATACAATGAAGCTATTAGTATGAAGATGTAGAGTTTTTATTGACAGAAATGTCCCTGCAACTATTAAATTGTAAAAGGCAAAATTACAGATACTACATGGCTGTAAAAAAATGAAGTTTTTTATGTTCTGATATTACATGATATTCATGATATATTAAGTGAAAAAGGTGCATCGTGTGCTACCATGTGTGTAAAAGAGGAAAAGAGCACTGCACTTCCTTGTATGTGCATAAAACATCTCTGCAAGAATACATAAGAAATTAATCACACTGAATACCTCTGGGAAGAGGAACTAGGTGGTAGGTGGAATAGAAAGGAAACTTTTCATTGTCTTTAATTCTGTCTCTATTTGAACAATTTAAAATAGAATTTTGGAATTGAAAAGTTAAGAAATTTAAGTTTCAAAACAATGCATACAGTAGGGTCCCCATTTTCTTTGGAGAGGTGGGAATGTTTGAGGGGGGGGACAGGCAGACGGGTAGAGAGCAAGAGATGTGAGCAGGTAGGCAAGCAGAGAGTATGTAAAGGGGAGCAAGGCAGAGTGAGCAAGACAGTGTAAGCGAGCAAGGAGAGACAGAGACTGAGGGATGGAGACAGGCAAAAACAGAGAGATTCCAGAGCAGAGACAGACTAACTGGTGGTTATCTCTGCCTGGTGGCATTAGGGAAGATTTCTTTCTGCTTGAGCAATCCTTTGGTTATTTCCCCAATAAGCGTGCTAATTTTACAATAAGGAAATAATTTATTTCAGAAAAACTACTTTCACATCATGCTTTAAATGCTACAGAGATTGCCATGTATGGACTCACCATGTGGACTAGCAAAACTGGCCCCTGGTCCTATTGAGATTCCATGCGAGGATGGGGGAGGAGTTGGAACAAATGATGCTGGTGATGGGGCTCTCAAAGCCCCACTGGGGGAGCTGGCAGCATGCAGATTTCCTAATGAAGGAAAATAATTATAGATGATCTTGCAGGACACGTTTTATGTTCTCTTCAAGGACCCCAAGTTAAGAATCTCTCCACATACTAAAGAAACAGGTAGTAACGCTCATATATAGTGCAAAGAAAATCTGGAAAGATTTCATCATCAAAAAAAGAGATCAATTCCATGGGCCCACATTCCAGCTCGTGTTGATTCTTTTCCCCCATACGCAGTGTACTTTTTAGTCATTCGCTCACTCATTCAGCAAGTAGACACAGACACCAGCTTCACACGAAGCACTGTTCTAGGCAATGGGGATACTTACATTCTAGTGGAATAAGAAAGACAAACGAACAAATACATGTCAGTGCTATGGAGAAAAATAGAGCAAGGAAAGCAGGAGAGGAGAAGGGTACTATATAGTGGTGGAGGTGGGTGCTACTATTTATATACATAAAGCAATCAGAGAAGACTTCTCTAAAGAGACATTTGAGCTGAGATGAAATTTAGGGTGAGGAATGAGAATATCCAGATATCCAGGGCATAAGATATTCCAGGAAAACAAAGATAGAAGCCAGTATAAATAACAGGGAGAAAGCCAGTGTGGCTAGAATTGAGTGAGCAATGCAGAGGCTGAACGAGACTACTCTGAGGACTTGGGATTTACTCTGGATGAGAAAGGCAGGCACTGCAGAGTTTGGAGTGAGGAGTCGTGGAATCAACTTACGAGTCAAAAGGCGCACTCCAGCTGCTGTGTGAAAAGACTACAGGGTATGGGCAGCAGCAGGGAGAGGCAAGGCAGTTAGAACCAACCTTAATAATCTAGGTGAAGGATGATCAGTGGCTTGGGCAAGAGTGACAAAAGTTGAGGTGGTGAAAAGTGGTTAGATTCTAGATAGATTCTGAGGATAGAGTATTTGTAACTATGGGCTGTGGAAGAAGAGAGTCCAGGGTGACTCTAACAGTTCTGGCCCAAACTGTAGAAAGGAAGGAGCTGCCACTTGCGGTGGGGTGTTTGTAGGAGGCGCATCACCGGGGATGGGTGGAGGGAATCAGGAGATTAGTCTTGGTGTGCTGATATATAGCTGGAAATACAGGACTAGAATTCAGGGGGGAGGTCTACACTGGAGATATTAAAACTGGGAGTCATGAGCTTAAAGATGGTATTTAAAGCCAAAGGACTAGTTTTAATTTAGGTTATGGAAGCGTAAACTGTGACTACCATAACAGAGTGGGGAGAAAATAAAAAAACACTGTGTTAAAATAACCATCAATACCAGCAGGTTTGAAATTCTGTACTATGACGGTACAGTGCCTAAAGCATTTGACAGCTAACCAGAAGGTTGCCAATTCAAACCCACCAGCCACTCCGTGGAAAGAAGACAGGACAATCTACTTCCATAAAGATTTACCTCCTCGGAAACCCAATGGGAGTCGCTATGAGTCGGAAACCAACTCAATGGCAGTGGGTTTGTGGGTTTTTTTTTTTTTGTATATGAGGTAATTTCTTATTTTTTATATTCTACAATACCTAATACAGTGCCTTACATTCAGTAACTATGTTGATCAAGCTGATGAACCTTTAAGTGTTATGTTTAAGTATTCCTTATGTGACCCAGGTAAGTGACTTAACTTTTCCATTTCTCAAGTTTTCCTCTATAAGATAGAGACAATAATAGCATGTACTCCACAGGTTTGCTGTGAGGATTAAGGGGTAAAGTGCTTAGAACAGGGCATGGTACACAGTAAGCACTAAATACCTATTTGCTGCTATAATTACTTCAAATAACTATTTTCCCTTCCTTCTACAAAAAATCATTGTCAACTCATATTCTCGAAACACACTCCCCTTGAGTTCTATGACCCTGTTTCTCTTGTTTTCCTCCTTGCTCCCTAGCTGCTCCTTCTCAAGCTCCAGGTCAGTTAACCGCTGGCACCCTTAAGGGGCTACACTCACTCAGAGCTTCAGTAGTCTAGGTATGATAATGACTTCCAAGCCTTCATCTATGGTCCAACTCTATCTGATGATCTATCTGTAGGCCTCAACACATCAGACTGGCTAGCTAGTGGCTTGAAAATTAAACTAATTCAATGGAACTCACCTTCTTCCCTGCAAAATCTGCTGCCCTACTACTCTAGCCCTTCTCAGTTATGCTAATTTAACCCTGACCTTCCCCTACTAAAACTCAACAATAGCTCCCCATCACTCAGACAATAAAGTCCCAAACCACTGATAGAGCCCTGTCTTTCTCCCCTGGTTCTTCTTGTTCCAGCCATTAGGGACTATCCATCCACAGTCCTCTGGTCTTAGGCTTTACATACCCTGCACACTCTGCCCACAGTACCCTCCTCCCTCCAGACCCCCTGTACCCTCTAATCTACCTTTCAAGTCTCAGCTTAACCAATGTGTGTAGTGGGGAGGGAAGGATGAGGCAGACAGCAAGAAAGGCATCTCCAGGCAAGAACCTCCCTGCTGACTGCTCTTCAGTAGCCTAAGTGGCTTCTTCTGTAGCATTCACCACACTTGGTATTTCAGATGCAGACTGGTTCCAAAACTACGAGTATAAACAGGAAGCCCTCCTTCCCACCCCAAAAAGGCAGAAAAGGAAATCTAAAGTGAGGATCAATTTATTATTAAAAATTAATAATAAACAATAAATTTATTATTAAAAAACCATGTTATGTAGTCATTCGAAGGAGCTCTGGTGGCGAAGTGCCTAAAGCACTTGACTGCTAACCAGAAGGCTGGCGGTTCAAAACCACCAGCCACTCCTCGGAAGGAAGGCTGGGCAACCTACTTCCTAGTGATATCGCCTTGGAAACCCAAGGAGGGGTTGTTATGAGTTGGATCAGACTCGACGGCAGCAAGTTTGGTTTGTTTTTTTTGTAGTCATTGGAAGAGCAACCTGAGTGGATCTTGTGTGGGGGTGAGGTCTGCCAGTTATGGATGTGGAGCAGTGCGATCCAGACCACAAAGCCGCTTATAATGAGCTGATCAAAACTCCCCTTATCAGAGGTGTTTGTCATGTGCCAGACCCCATACTAAAGACTTCATGTAGATTATTTCATTAAATTCTCACACCTCTAAGCAATTTTATTAATGTGGTTAGCTGGTTACCAAGTGATGTCTTCTATCTTCCTTCCATCTGCAGGTTATCAAGGTTCTACTGTCAATGTAAATTTCATATACATACACACACACACATACATACGTATAGTTTATTTTATTTTATAAAGGAAAAAATTATGCACAACAGATTCTGATTTCAATGTGAAAACTTCCAAGGGAATGTACTTGCTGTTTGCCATTTAATGATCAGTTTTATATAACATGATTTTCTTATTTTCCAATAAGCCCAAATATCTTTGATTGGTACACAATTACTTAATGCATTTTTGGCTGATTAGACTGCTGCATTCATATTAAATGAGCCGTTTTTTACTATATATATACTTCAAAACACTTTAATTTCTTATACCTTATATCCCATATTATATTTTATATACCAAAACTTTTAAAAATACCATGTGCTCTGCCTGGTGTAACCACTGAGACTATGGCCCCTAGCTGCCCTTCAGGTCTGGAATTGAACCCACAACTGTGGTTTCTAGCCAAACAAAGTACAGGCATGTGAGTTAAACATTTACCTCAAGTAGACACACGCCCTGGAGAGAACAATCATGGGAGAAGGAAGGGCTGCTTATGCACAGGGAGATAGCTCAGGGTACAGAAGAGTATGAAGGGATGGACACTGGGAGGAGGTAACTATGGGGAGGAAGTGGGAGGGGAGCTGCTGCTTTGTAAATTTTGGTCAATGACATGAGACAAAGTATATGTGAACTGCTGTATGAAAAGTGAATTTACTCTGTAAATCTTCACCCAAATCCTAATAATAAAAAAAAAAAAAAAAAACCTAAAAAAAAAAAAAAAAAAAAAAAACCATGTGCTCTGGAAATATTAACGTGGAGTAGGTTAGGAACAGGACCTGGCAGGTACCCAGAAATTTCATCCCTGTCTTCCTTACTAGGAAAACTTGCAGGGCTGGAACCTGACTCACTGCTGAGTCCCTGGCACCATGCAACATCTGGCACAGAGCAAATGCTCAAGAGGTACCACTGAACTGTTCAGTTAAAAGTAAAAATTTGGCATGCTTAAGTAACCTTACAGGGTATTTCACAGGGTTGCTGACAGAGCCATTTCGCCTGGACAAGATGGATGTATACTGCCTAACTCCAGGGGGCACCATTCACATGTACTGGGGCTGACAAACTTTTTCTGTTAGAGATCATTATAGCAGGAAAAGAGCTATAGACAATACATAAATGAGTCTGGCTATGTCTGAATAAAACTTTATTTGTAAAAGCAGGCGGCACAGGACACAGTAACTGACCTCTGGCATAAATCATGTGATTAGCATGCCCTGAAGTGTCATGTGGCTGGCCCTTGGTGAGAACACCTCCACTTAATTCAAACTTTTAAATAGTGCTTCCAAACCATCAACAAAGATTTCACAACCTGGCCACAGTGAATGAACAGCAAATAGACATACACTAAAAACACAGTTCTCTCTGAAGCCTAAGACTAACATGTACAGTGCTTTTATACATATATGTAGGATTGGAATGTTGAACTTGACAAGAGAATAAGTAATAGCTTACCTGGGGACTGTGTGTGCATCATAGAGGGAGACTGATTAACTGTGCTGTGGTAAGATGTAGGGGGTGAAGTAAGAGGATAAGCACCTGATGATCCTGGCTGCTTTGGAAATGGCTGAAAATAAGAAAATTAAATGTTGATAAGATAGCTAACTGCATATAGTAAGACAGTGTGGTTTTGCCCAATTATAGATATAATGTTAACACTACACGTCATTGGTCACCAAATAGAAAACATAAGATATGAAAATGTGCAAAAAACACATCTATAATACAAGTCTGAAAAAATTAATAAAATACTTTTAGAACACACACATCCTCACTCCTGCTTTGCAACACCATTGCTTATATCTCTCAAGATATTTTTTTCTCACTTCCTTACATTTTGTTGATTCTAAGAAATGTTTTTACACATTTTAGTATTTCTGAAATCAGGGTGTATCTTTCAAGTGATGGCCTATCAGTTTAACTGACAGTGTCTTAACAGTACATAAAAAATGGTGCATCTTGTATATCAAGGAACCTTAGAGTCAAAGAAATATGGTAGGTAGTTCAATCTGTCTTCTAGTCACTGTCTACCCTAACTCTACTAATAAAAAACCTAAGATGGTCTAATTATTATTCTTTTTAATTGAGGTGTGACTCACATATAGTAAAGTACACAAATTTTAAGTGTATGGCTTGATGAATTTTTACAAATGTAACTACCACACAGATCAAGACAAAGACCATCATCAGTGCTCCACAGGTCTGCCTCATATACCTTCGAAGTCTTTACAGCCTCCTCAAAGGGAAGAACCATCCTGACTTACATCACTCAACCTTAGTTTAGCCCACTTTTTGCATTTCATGTAAATACTGAATGTACTCTTCAGGGCCTGGCTTCTTTGGTTCATTATTACGTCAGTGAAATTCACACATGCTGCTGTGTATACCACTCTAAAATATTCCATAGTGTGCATATATCCCAATTTATTCATCCATTGTACTACTGAGAGATATTTAGGTTGTTTACAGTAATATTGATAAATAATGCTGATATAAATATTCTTTTGTGATTTTTGATGTGTTTTTATTGGCTTTATGCCTAAGAGTTTAACTGCTAAATTACAGGTATACTTAATATTTAGCTTTAGCATTGTAGAATACCATCAAACACTATGCAAAGTGGATATATCATTTTGTCGTTGTTGTTGTTAGGTGCCGTCAAGTCAGACCCAACTCATAGCAACCTTTCCTTGGGTTTCTGAGGCAGTACCGCCATGGAAGTAGATTGCCCAACCTTCCTTCTGAGGAGTGGCTCCTCTACTAGTAAATGAAAAGGAGTTCTGGTGGTGTAGTGGTTAAGACATTTGGCTGCTAACCAAAAGGTTGGCAGTTCGAACCCACCAGTCACTCTGCAGAAGAAAGATGAGGTAGTCTGCTTCTGTAAAGATTTACAGCTCTGGCAATTCAATGGGGTTGCTATGAGTCGGAATCCACTTGATGGCAGTTGAGTTTGGTTTGATTTGAGTAGTAAATGAGGGTTTCAGTTGCTCCTAATACCAAATGTTGACAAGGATTATCAGTTTTTTCTTAAGCCAGTTTGTGGGTATGGAGTTGTATTTCACTGTGGTTTCTATTTGGATTTCTATGATGCCAAATGATGTTGAATATCATCTTTTGTGGAATGCCTTGAATCTTTTATCCATTTTAAAAACTAAGTTGTGTTTGTTTGTTTTAATTGCTTTTTACTATTCTATTGTAAGAAATTATAGACTCCAGGCTCTCTAATGCACAAGCTACAAAAGCATGTATTTGACTATGTCATTTTATCCAATACTGCAGAATGTACATTTCTTTCTGGAAATTTAAGCTACATGACCTTATTAAAATTACGATATTCCCAAGCTTGGATGTATTCTTTTATTTCTCATGGACTAAAATTATGCACTATAAAAGAAAAACTACCTACAGGCACTGAGGAAGAGGAAGACATAGAGAGGTTCATGGGAGGTACAGACAACAAAGCTGAACCCTTTTGCACATACAGTACTGCATTGTCAGTGAAGGGAAACATTGATATACGGGTAGATAGATGGGTGAACAGGCTGAACTATTAGGTATGTCTATGCTGGGGGCAGTGTCCCTATGACCATGTATAGGGTTGGCAGACAATGTTTCTACGAGTGTATCAGTATGTTCTATAAGAATTCCCAGATATATAGTAAAGCTGACAAGAGACAAGGTTGTAGTCACATTTTAGCCACAGCCAGATACCCAAAGGGAATGAATAGTTGGACCTGTGGGCTTGGGACCATAATCGCAAGTGACATCAAGTTCAATTGGCATAACGTATTATACAAAAACATTGTTCCACATCCTACTTTGGTGAGTAGCGACTGGGATCTTAAAAGGTTGCAAGCAGCCGTCTAGATGCAACAATGGTTCTCTCCTCGTCCAGAACAAAGAAGAATAAAGAAAACCAAAGACACATGGAAACAATTACTCCAAGTGACTAGTACACCATGCGATTCTCAGCCTATAGGGCTATGATACTAGAAGAACTAGATGGTGCCTGGCTACCAATGTCAACCATTTGGAGAGGGATCTATGTAGGAGATCCTGGATATAGAGGGAGAACAATGTGGAACAAAAC